GGAATTTTGCATCGGTAAATTCTACGTTTTGAAGGATTTGTAAGAAATGTTTGAGGGAACTCTGAAGTTGGATAACCTTTCTTTTGATACACCCCCTGCATGTAGAGCATAAATTGCTCACCTGAAGTAGACTCGTTAGGATATCCACACAAAGCTCTTTGGGGTCGACCAACTTTGAAGCGGCACTGAAGCCAGGAATAGCAGTAATCTCAACCAAACATTCTAGGGTACTTTCCAACACTGGCAGGTCATAATACTGAGGACTGTCTGTTAGATTGAGATTCAGAGTCAAGCTGAGTGTAAAGTCGCCGGCGTAAACCATCTCACCTGACCATAACCACGGCTTGGAAACACCTCGTAGTCTTCGAACAAATACGGCGAGAAATTCTAGTAAATCTTTACGAAGCAATCTACAGGTGCAAGAAAAACAAGTTATTTACTAGTTATTTTTTCAAGCTTCGTAGAAATAAAAGGTAAAGAATCGAAAGGGGGTGTTAACCATATCGCCTACCTCTTTGATTCTGTTTGAGCGCTATTCCCAGGCTCCTCTCTGACATGCAGCAGTGACGTAATTGCGCTATCGGGTGTCATGATCACGTGAGCCAACCATCCGAGGAAATCATCAGGAGCAACTGGGTACGAGTCTGTGATTACGCGACTGAACATCTTAAGGACATCGCCCAGCAGTTGATCATCGTCGGAACTCTTCGGGAACATGGTGAAGTATCTGGAAATTAAAACCAACATATCTCACACGAGAAGCGGTTTGAAAACGAGACGGCAGTCAAATCGTTATACTTTTTCATATTCTTTGAAATGATTTAAATCACTATCATAAAGGATTTTGAGTGTACAATTCTCCTGAATTATTGACGAGTTTGAGAATATTTAACCTATTCTACTCGTTAATCTATTCTGTAGAAATCACTTTGAGTTTAACAGAAAATCACAGAAGCAAACCCTCGTATAAAAAAACCTTTCAAAAGCTGTCTTCCAGTCGCAAGAATAAAACACTTGTCGAGCCAGATATCTTCTCGATTCTCCTTCAATCTCTTGTTCTGTTTCCACGCTGTTTTCAGCCAGAAAATGCATCGACAATCTGTTTACAGATAACCTCACTGCGTAATGAGAAGTTGCTTTCATGATAGACTTTATTTCTTCGGTAACCGCTACTTTGACAGAACAGCACTTGAGTAATTGCGAGTCCAGAGGCGTCCACGGCAGCTCTTTGTTCACACTGTAGAGTAAAATTTTAAAATAGTCATATGGACACCTTTGACAGTGTAAACGAGGGTGGTTAGTCTACGCGTCCTTTCACTTTACAAGCTTTAAAGTTAGTTTAGTTTAGGTTCTTCCTGTAGTAACTCTGGGCCTCCTTATGTACTTTATCTTCGCCTCAAGGGAGAACAGTTTAGAACTGATACAGCTATCCAGCATAAATAAAGTTAGCTTAGTTTAGGTTTCGTCCAGTAGTATCACTGAGTTAATACGGGATAACGGTTACTGGACCTCTACGAAGAAAAGTCGTCTAAAGTTGTCCTGAATAAGTAATTGAAGGTACATGTAGTTTATGGTGCTAAAACAAGAAAATACGCAATAATTATCAAAATTCACCTATCTACGTTTCCTGGCGTCACTTCCGGAACGTCATGTGGGTTCTCGTACCAGGCTAAGTTCCAGGCCACTCTCAACATTGACAATACTGGTTCAGCCCTCAAGGGATCGCTCTCTGTCAGTTTTTCGCGTTGATAAGGATTGTACATTTCATAGATTGGAGGGTTGAACGACAGGCTGTATCTAAAAGTGGAACAAAAAAATCGAAAAAACATCTAGTTATATTTTCTAGCTGTTACACAAAAGGTATTCTGCAGTCGTTGCCGTTGGTCTATTGTGTATAATCGATTATACTGAAAGTAGAAACTGGACTGAAAATAGAATCATGCAAAGAAACCAAGAAAATGTGGTACCTTTTCAAAACTAAAGCTGGCAAAGCGAACATGATATCGCCACCGTTCTCCTGGCGTTCTTCCAGCAATGGACATCGAGCCACCTCATCAAACAATAACAACGTCATCAAACATGCAACTTCGTATCTCACCGTCCCTCCAGCCGGCGCGAGTAATGCATGTCGGGATAGAATATCATAGACAGATGCATCCTGGGCCAGTTTGTGACGACATCTTACGTTATACTCGGTGAGCAAGCGTAGGATCTTTAAACAGGGGGAGACTAGGTCTAGTTTGGGGTTAACGATGGGGCTGATGTGAATTTTTCCATCTTTAAAAAGAGATTCATGAAGTACTTTTATCAAAGAATTGTCGGCATTTTCTTCAAGTAACACGCTGTGCCATGTTGGGTCTGCAATGTGGAGAATTTAAACTCAATTTTAACACTTTAATTTGTCAACAAGAATTGCTACAAGGTTGTTGGGCTCAACAGACTTGTTACAAGTTGTTCCAGCGACTTGTTATCGTCCTGTAATTCAACGATTTGTCAACAAGTTGTGAGTGAAACCTTGTAGCAACTTGATAAAATAACAGCATTGTTACAACCTGTTGACAAGCTTGTTACATAACAAGCCTGCTGAGGACACATCTTTTTGACAAGTTGTAAGATTTGTACGTGTGTACTCTGACAATTTCATCCTGTTGTAACATGCTGTAGTAACATCCTGTACAAATAAGCGATGACCATTACTGGACCTCTAGGAAGGAACTGTTTAGAACTGATGGAGCTATGAACAAAGCCAGGATATAAATAAAGTTATTTCACTTTATGTTTTCTCTTGTAGCAAGTAGAAACTCGTTATCTATCTTACCTTGCATCAACACAGCTAACTGTTCTGCTGACGATTTCCTTAACGACAGCTCGTTACTTTCCATGGCAACAATATCAAACAACTTCCGGATTCTATCCTCGTCAAAATTCGCGTGTTTACTGGAGCGATGCAACCGAACTGACGCAGCGAATGTTTCGATGATAAAAAGTTCACAACTGTTCTCCAGTGCCCCACTCGGATAAACCATCTCACACTTCGTCTTTGCATCTTGCTGAACGAGACGGTGAATTAAATATCCATAACATTTAGCGCGTAATGTTTTGTCTTTTAGAAACATGCAACGTAGCCACCCTCTGAGGCGCTCGAACTGCGAAAAGGGGACAATTTCCCCATCGGCAGTAAGGGAATAGGGTGATTCACCCGGTGGGGCTAACAACCCCAGTAAGCATGTTCCAAGTTTGGTTCGTTTATCCAAGTACATTTGAAGGAACGGAAGTGACGTCACAAGATCATCCAATAATTTTCTCCACATTGGCGTGTCCATGTTTAATCGACTGTCCAAGAGTGTCTCAATAATACACATTGCTGTCTGTGCAACCTGGCAATAACAAAACATATTACCGTTTAGTGCCTGCTTCAAACTGTTCACACCAATAAGGGGAAGCAAATTAAACTGCATCTCTTAATTCTATTACTAGGTCTCCAACTTTAAGATTGCCACCTATAATGAAAGAATTAATACCATCACTGCTTGACGACTTTGTGTGCTTTGATAATGGCGTGTTTTATCTTTTCTGAAGTAGGTAATTATCCCTCTATTTCCAAAAATATTCACCAAGTCCGATAGCGAAACTAAATTGAAAGACATGGAAATAAACCAGACCATTGAACTCACCTCTTCATCTGGATCAGCCAAACCAAAAGCACACACAACGTAGATAACATCACGGTCGATCATAAACAACGCTTTTTTGCAAAGACTTGACATCGGGTTCGTAACATGACTGTGTTTCAACGCTTGTTTTAAAACGTCGCAACAACTTTTGTACGACTCCCGTTTAACAGCTACGTCAACACACGACAACATGGAGAGCAGAATGTTTTTCGATTTAGATTTCGTTTCACCATGAGTAGAAGGTCGTTGATAGATATTGCTAATCAAGTTGATGGCGTGGCTGATAAGTTCTCGATGACGGAGGTAGGGCAGCCCCAAGATACAGGAGTCCAACATCAGTATTAAAGCATCTCGTTCAGTTTCTCCCTGAAATGAAGGACGTTCAGTTGCATTAACCATTCCAACGATTCCAGAATGGTCCATTGTCTTTTGAACAAACAAACAAACAAACAAACAAACAAACAAACAAACAAACAAACAAACAAACAAACAAACAAACAAACAAACAAACAAACAAACAAACAAACAAACAAACAAACAAAACAAACAAACAAACAAACAAACAAACAAACAAACAAACAAACATACAAACAAACAAACAAACAAAACAAACAAACAAACAAACAAACAAACAAACAAACAAACAAACAAACAAACAAACAAACAAACAAACAAACAAACAAACAAACAAACAAACAAACAAACAAAAACACAAAAACAAACAAACAAACAAACAAACAAACAAACAAACAAACAAACAAACAAACAAACAAACAAACAAACAAACAAACAAACAAACAAACAAACAAACAAACAAACAAACAAACAAACAAACAAACAAACAAACAAACAATAAAATCGGCCAGGTCATTAAATCCAATACCTTTATCCTGACGTCCTTGAGAAAATGAACTGAAGCAATAATCGAGTCTTTCACTGCCACAGCTCTCGTGTACATTTCCATAAACTCAGCGTCATTGGTCAAAACTGGACAACGTTCTAAGCTGGTTCTTATCCCAGGCAGAATGGTGAAGAGAATTTCGTTGGTCAATAAAGCTCGAAACGCGTTATCAAGATCTTCGTCAGTATTTTCGTAATCCTGGGAAAGACATCACGAAGTATTAATTTCAACTTTTACTGTAACCAATTTTGTTAATATAGAAAATTGGACCATTCCCCACAATACGACGGTATCAATTATCTAGACATGCGCAGAGTGTAATGTGGCCAGAGTGCTTAAACGACCACAAGGATATGTCTTCACAAATTCATTAATAATTCATGAGAAAACACCTGGAAATCAGCACCGTGTTGTTATCTTGTCTTCTTGATATTCGACATTGCCTAGACGTTGACGGCACGTCGTTGACGGCACGTTGACGTCGTCACGTCGTTGACGTCGTCACGTCGTTGACGACGTTGACGACGTTGACGGCACGTCGTCACTTACCAGGTTGATCAAAGGTCCATAAAATTCCATCAACCAAAGTGCGATATTGACGACAGTCATTGCGTGTCGTGTGATGTTATGTTCCACGATACCATCCGATGGTTGGAGACCACATTTTAACATGTGATAGTTGATCGTTTTACCAACCAAACTACACACTTCTTCCCGTAATGGCTTCTAACAACCACACAACATAAGTAACACAATTAGTTCTAAATAACTTGTTTTATACCGGATAGTTCTATCAGTTCTGAACTCGTCTTCCTAGAGGTCCAGTAAGCTATAGAGCAACCATTATTGCTCCAGAAAACCTGCAGTGTTTGGTAGAATCAAACTGCAAGCATTCTTCTCTTATTTGACTGAGGTTATCACCATAAAACAACTGCATATTGACATATCTCACCACTATACCATCAACTGCACCATACCATTTTAAACTGTAAACAAATTACCATTTTATGATGATTCCACCATTGGTGACGTGGATAACAAACTTCAAGCAAACTCAACGCCTCTTGCAGAGCTCCTAACACCAGCAACGGGTCAGCAACACTCTGTAACAACGGACAACAACCTCGCAACACTTGCAGACAAAATTCACCAATGGACAGTTGGTTTAATTCCAAAGCCTCTCGCACCAGGCCATCGGCCTCATCATCATAAGCGTATCCACCGCTCGTAGTTTTTGACGACTCGCTGAAAAAATCATGAAGAAACGAACGAGGTCACAGAATAGAGACAAATTACACACTTGCAGATACCATTAAATGATTGTGGATTACATTTTCGAGATACATCTATGAATATTTTCGTTCTGAACTGTTCCACTGTAATTTAGATATGGAGTTACTGTAGATATATCATTCCTAACCTTGATGTTTCGCCTCCATCACCAGTGGTTCGAAATTCAGATGTTTCACTTGTCGGAGAAGCCATAGTACTTGAAGAAACTGAGGTATTGCTGAGCCAATGTTTCCAACACTCTAAACATAGTAAGTTCATTTTGAGACCACTGGAACATACAGTCAGACTATCACCAAATATACAAATACATTTCTGGCAAAAAGGTCTTTACTCATGATTATTTCAAACGTAGGGATCCAGGTAGCCTAGTTAGTGATCAGCCAGGTGGAAGTTCAGAAACCAACCCCGGTAGCTTATGAATTATGTACGATTAAAAAGCCTAAACTTAAGCTACTGTTGACGAAGGGCATTTTCTCGAAACAGCGAAGTGTCCATCTCTTTCTCGTAACTCAGACAAACTATTAAGGAGCTCTCCGCTAATTAACTCAGGCTACGTTTGCAACGTACCTGACAGCTGTTCGTGGCGACGTGAAAAAACACCTAACCGTACCTTTTACTGTTTTAGGAACGCTATTTTCTGAGGAATTATTGAGATGTTGCCGTTTCGCTCAGCTCCTAAAAGTTGTACATTTCGTATCGGTTAGGTGCTTTTTAGCGCAGCTATCGAAAGCTATTCGGTCTAGTATAAATGTAGCCTTAGTGATACCAGTAATGCATTCTGCCACCTAGGGTGGGTGACTTATTCACCATGACGATGAACCATGTCACTGCATTGTTCAACCAAAGCGTGAAGGATTGCAAGCTAACCCTCCTATCGTGGCAGCTAGAACCTCACCTGGATACAAACTATACCACTGTGGATCAGTCATCAGGAGATAACGATGTTTAAGATGAATACATAATGTGGACAAACACGTGACTGCAGAGGTAGAAACATTCTGTTGTTCTGGTGAGTGAACTTCAACCAGGGTAAGTAAAGTCTACAAAGACAAGTTGAAAGTAATGAAACTAAACTAAACTAACTTTACTTAGACTGAATAGCTTTATCAGATCTAATTTTTCAATCAATGGCGTTCTCAAAAGTTAGTTTGTCAGTAAGCCAGTAACCTACCATCACAATACTTGGTCGCTGTAAGAAAATCTCCGCAGGAAAATCTTTGAAGAGCACATCGCTTAGAAATTCACATGATTTCTTCGCTAAACTTGTGTTGTTGCTCTGCAGGCGAGTGTTTGTGGTAGCTAATACATGACGGTCACTGTCAGCAAGCGAAATCCATGGAAAGCGCCAGTCAGTTTGAATCTTGATGTCCTCAACTGTTAAAAGAAGTGATGATTTGTTGACAAGTGCACAGCTAGCACTTTGATTTCTTGTGGAAATGACATATGTCATTGTATGGAAAGGACAGCTGGCCATTTAATAAAGCTGCAGTTCACTTTACACTATTGTTCAGCAGTTGGTGAGCAACCACAATTATTAGAAGCTGCCACAGAGTGAGAAAAGGCAGAAAATAATCATGTTAAGGCTTTTCATTATATGTAGTAGTCTTTTATAATCAGGAAAAAATAGATAGAATTGAGGTTAATTTTCTTGCCATAACTGTCAACAGTTCGGAAATTGATGTAATTTTGACCACCGTGGATCTGGTGACCAGTAAAGTATATATACTGCAACATACCAATACCTTCACCCGCATGCCATTCCTGTCCCACAGGAATGGTCTGAATTTTGTCCACTGATTTTTGTACTGGAATTGAATGTTCCTCTTTTGCATGTTCAATATCTGCCCCTACTTTTTTGTGCAAAAGTTCAGCGTCAGCAGATTTGACATCCAGATCAAAGTCATTGGTGTGCTTCTCTCTGTCATAATGCAGTTGCTCGTCATCGGAGTCAAGTACTTCAGGTAAACTGAGTAGGTTCGTCAGAACATCGTCAATATACTGGTATAAAGATGGATCCACATCACGACGTAAATGAGACAAAAAATCGACAGCTCCGATACTAACCAGTGTTTCCAAACCTGAACTGTGCTGTTGAAAGTAAAAATTGTGTAAAGGGAATTGCCACCTGAATGCAATTCCTGTGACTTGCAGTTGTCTGATCATAAGATTGGAAGATTTAAAATGTTGTTGTCCAGAAAATTTTTTCCTCATTGGGGTTTGTCGGAAAAGTACTGCCCTTGGCCCCCCTCCCCAAAACATGGGACCCACGGCGCCACTGGGTTTCTCTAGATACACATGTAAAAATGCACAGGCTGTAAGAAACCTGCAGCAGACAGGATGTGTTCGCACTGCTTGTTCAGCCTTGTTGACAAGTTGTCAACGCCGGCTTGTTGACATCTTGCTACAAGGTTGTTCCAACAACTTGTTATTATCCTGCAATTCAACAATTTGTCAAGTTGTGAGTGACAACATTGTAGCAACTTGGTAAAATAACAGCATTGTTACAACTTGTGACAAGTTTGTACAAGCCTGTTGTGAACACATCTTGTTGACAAGTTGTGAGATTTTTATGTGTGTGCTCTGGTGTGACAAATGGGATCAATAAAAGATGGCTCCAACTGAAGAGAACAGTTTGGAACAAACATAGCTACCCAGCATAAATAATGTTTGGTTAAGTTCTACTTTTAAAGGTGATCTACAGTCCGTATGTAAACAAAGGCTTTGTTTACATTATTGTGTCCAAAATATTGAGCTTTATTCGACAACTATTTATATTTTCAAGCTTCTGGAGTATAATAAATGATCAAGAAACAACAATCAGGCTTTTCAAGAACTCAAAACATAGTTAAACTGTTTGTATCATAAAAAGTGGGCTCATTTGTGCACATGCGCAGATCGGACTGTAGATCACCTTTAAAAAAAATCAACCTTTGACAATTTTTCCAGCAGTTGAAGAACGTCTTTTTGCTGCGAACAAGGTCCAAAATTAAACCATTCCAACAACTTTATAAACAGTTCCTTCTTATGTACAACATCACCCACACAAAGTAAATCATGGTGGAGTTTAAATATTATGTTTTGCAAAGCACGGACACGGATTTCTTCTACAGAGTGACCTATAAATTTAATATTGAACAGAACGTATTGGTGGGTTTGTTATATTAGAACAAGCTTTTCGTTGATAGGGATGCAACTACCTGAATATATATAAGCTCAGCTACCATACAGCAGCCTCAGTCATCAGAGTGAGAAAATAATTTTAATTTTTCATTATATGTAAGTAGCCTTGTATTTGGTTGCAAATAAAAATGGTTTTGAGAGGCTTGCACTAATACATGTCAGAATTGTCTGTGCCAACACAGGCCAGATCGATCTAAGCTTATTAAAAACAGTGAGGGTTTTCAGGGGTGCCCCTCCATAACCCTGCTCGGCTGCTCCACCAGTCAAAATTTTCTGAGATCACAGACACAAAATAAAGAGTAAATAATGCCATTTGAAGTGGCTTTACATTGTCATATACTGATCTCAGGAATTTTGACAGTGTAAAAGTGTAAAGTAAAACCAAGTAATTTTATTAATAATAAATATGGTCAACAATTTGTCAACATTTTACTCATAATATTTGCAAAAAATAAGCCTACCTAACTTTGTTATCAATGGCTGAATGTCGATCTCACCATCAGATGTCAATGGTGATCCATCACTCATGATTTGCTGCAAAAATATTTGCTTGTAAACACAGATACTCTGTTTGTAAACATTGCAAATTTTCATCAAAGCGCGCCAATGTTTGAAGTAGTGGAATTGTGTGACGATAGTTGGATAATAGGGGATAAATAGAATGGATAAAAATGGATAAAAGCTGATACAAGGAATGACAATGGATATTTATTGATAAAAATGGATATCAGTTGATAAAGGTAAACACAAATGGATGGAAGTGAATAGATATGGATAAGAGTGGATATCAATGGAAATAAATGGATATGTAAGAATGAAAATGAGTAAATATAAATAGAAATGGATATAAAGCGGTAAAGAGGGACACATATGGATGAAAATGAATATCAGTTGATAAAGATGAGTACGTGTGGATAGAAGTGAATAAATATGGATAAGGAGGAATAAAAGAGGATATCAATGAACTGAAATGGGTATATACGAATAGAAGTGGATAAAAAGGGATAACGACTCAAATTAAAATATAGTCCTTCTTTAACCCTATAGATCCTCCTTCTCTTACGACGCCATTTTGGAAGTTCGTATTTTTTCCGAATCAAAAATGCTCAGTTCAAGAGCAATGTCGCCGGGTATTTCTCGGTTACTTACCGCCACTGTAGTGAACGTATCACACACAGTAAGAAACCCAACAACAGCGCTGCCTAGTAAGGAGAAATTTCAAATTCCAAGCACAGGATATGATGCTTTATTTCAGTCGGTGAATGGTTGTGCTCCGGCAGCAACGAATAAAATGTTTGGTAATACATCTCAATGTTTTGTTTTGATATTATAGTCTGTAATTTAAAGTATTTTAGTTTTTCTTCTACCATGCAATTTCGTGAAATGGTTGAAATCTCAGATATAAACAGTGTCAATCCTTGAAAAATTCTAATATTTATATATTTCAGGTAAAACTCAAATGAGATTCAGCCATACTGATGTCCAAGTACCTGACTTCTCAGCATATCGCCGTCCAACATCAAATGAAAAAGCCCAACCACTTGACGCAGATATGAGCAGACGTGCATTCACTTATGTTGTTATGGCAGGTATGGGTATTACAGGATTGCATGCTGGGAAAAATGCTGTAACTAATTTCCTACAAACAATGTCTGCCAGTGCCGATGTTTTAGCTTTGGCTAAAATTGAGGTTGATCTCACCACAATTCCCGAAGGGAAGAATGCCGCCATGAAATGGCGAGGTCGTCCGCTCTTTGTTCGTCACAGAACGGCCGCCGAGATTGAAGATAGCAAGAATACAAATCTTGCCGAGCTACGAGATCCTGAACATGATGACGATAGAGTCCAGCGACCTGAGTGGTTGATTTTGCTTGGTGTGTGCACTCATCTCGGCTGTGTCCCAATTGCAAATGCGGGAGATTTTGGAGGCTATTACTGCCCATGTCACGGCTCACATTATGATTCGTCAGGTCGCATTAGAAAGGGTCCGGCTCCACTTAACCTGGAAATCCCTGAATATTCTTTCCAAGATGAGAACACTCTTATTGTTGGATAAGTTACAAGAGATACAATTCTTGCAAATAATCGGTGACTGAAGTCTATACAGAATCTGTGGAACTGCTGTATTTTAATTTCAAAATGTTACTTTAAGGCTTTTCTACAGTTTTATCATGCTATAAATATATTTTGAAAATGGTTATTTAAAAAGTGAAAATTAATAATGTTTTAGGCATATTTCTATTAACCATGTTAAAGCAAATTGCATGTTTATTTTGGGATTTAATCTATTTTGTTTCAAAGATCAAAAAATATTTGAGTGAAAAATAAAACACTACCATTCAACCTTCTGTCAACTCTTGAACTTGGCTGGATTTGCAGGGGACACCCCTTCATACAAAGTTATTGCACCTCTCCTCACAAAAAAATGGTCACTCCTCACAAAAAAGATCCCCCCTCCCAGAAAAGGTCAAACCCCCTGAAAAATCACCCCCCCTGGAAACGTCAACACCCCCAAAAAAAAGAGTCAGCACACAACACACTGTAGGTTGAGCACATCTGCAGTCCACCTATAAAAATGTCAGTATCTCCTTTTCCCCTAACCCTCTCCATGAAAGATTTCAGGAAACAAAGATTTTCAGATATTTCTGCAAGATGTATTCAAGAGTGGGCAAACAGGTAAACATTTGAGAAAAATGAAGATTTTCAGTGCAACAATGTTTACTAGTCTGCCCAGAAATCTTGAGATGTCAAGGTTCAAGAATGAAACAATGCAGAAATTAAATGCTTGTTAGCACCATATGTTAACATTCACACATTGTGGTAGATGGCAATATTCATAATAATTGTTTTCAAAAAGTTCCATCTCGAGATTATTTTCAAAAGTTTGTGGTTTTGTTAAACTTTTGGTTAATTAAACATTATTCATATAAATGTGCTTCAAAACAAAACAGGGCATGAAATTTGCAACCAGATGGACATTACAAGCTCAGTATCTACTGGGAGATTTCTCTGTTGAGTGTTGTTTATATATCTTGTCATATATTCCGCAAATCGGTTTGCAGATTTTGCACAATATTTTCCAGTGAATATTAGGTTTTGGATATCAGATTTTATAGTATGTCATTGGACAACAGTGCTGAAAGTTTCGGATTTCAAACCCTGTTCAAAACGTTTGTTTTATTTTGAATGGATCACCTTTAAAGACTTTTTTTCAAAAAATGCCACATGATTTTTTGTCCAAATTTGAATTTGTTCCTCAAAAACAGCGAGATGCCTAATGTGAAAGTGATGGAGAAAAAACACCTGCTTAAATTCAGTTCGCGATTATTTTTTTCATTTCCTTCTATTTTTAATAAAGAAGTATTGTCTATTGAGTATTGATCTTGCAGATAATGATATGAACATGCAGAATACGTAAACATAATATGAAAAACTTAGATCTAGGACTGGTGAAAATATTGATTAACACTGCCTTAGGAGTTAGGACATATAGTGTTGCAAAATACAACTGAGCCTTAGGGCCAGTAACATTGATGTCTTGTTTATATACATCTGCAGTCACCGTCACCGAATTATTTTAAAAATTTATGGTTAATAAGGCGCGAAAACTTTAAATTGTACCTCTATATGCGAATGTTTCCGACTAAATTTTGAAAAATACCGTATTACTATTAATGCTCTTGTTCGCGACTTACCGTGGCTTATATTTAGTTCCTATTGCTTGGTTAGTTGCGGACAAATAACAAATTATTTCGGAAATTGTCAATGGGATTATTAAATGCAATTGTCACTGTCAGGCATTGCAATTAGAACGAAAAGTTCGACATTTAATTTGACACTTTGTACTTTATACCTGCTGTGTCAAGAAACTTCAAAATAAACATAAATTCAAGTTGTATTGATTGGTATTAAAACTTAAATAGCAACATGGCAAACAATATCGCCTCATCAACACACCCTCGGATTACAACATGCAGGTGTCGCAATATAAAGAAATTGTCTTGACAGTTGCACTGTTTGCATAGAACCTGTTTCTAGTTGTCATGGTGATGTGGGTCAAACAACACCCATACTGCAACAGTGCCTCGCAACATTTTGGAAAATCAGCAAAACGCAATAGCCTGTAATCAGGAAAAATTATTTTGTAATAATCAAAACGAAAAATGTAATCGTATTGGCAGATTGAGTCTTCTGACATCTCACTGCAAACTACAAAATTATTTTTCAGAAAGAAATTGCGTTGCGTTTACTACTTTACTCGTGTATAGATAAAGTATTCACCTCGTTTTTAATATTAAAATTGTTATGTTATATAAAAGGCCAATTTATGCTAATGCACATAACAGAATAATATTATTTCGACAGCTATTCATAATTCATATAGCCTCCGTAATTCAGACGGTGTTTCGCTCATGTAAAAGGTCTATATACCTCTTGCCGCGGTGTAAATTATTAATAAAATGAGCAATTTTAATTCGAATTTTGCGATGTTTACACAAATAGAATTGAAAATTTTAATTATAATAATTGTGCCCGTTACAACGTTAATGATTGCATCCAAAAGGTTATTAATTGCGTTCCAAATGTGAAACGATACATGTCGCGAAGCTAAATGTCTACGGTAATAATGCCGATCGATAAACCGTCATCGCCAGCGAAATCTTGTCGATTGCTGCCTTTAAAATCAACGTTATCTTCGTTGTATTTGTTAACTTCGTTTTTTGGGCATAAAAATTGTTTCCACCATACGCGATTTTCCCTTGGATTGGGGTTATGGATCGCGAACATGATCATCCACTTTCTCATGGATTTTTACGAGGCATATGCAATATTCGGTGTAGCTTGGGCGACTGCTGTAGGGATGTTTTTGATCACATTTATCACAGCAAGTTGCTGCCTAGCTAAGGTTACTTTGCCTTGGTTGGAAAATAGTTTGATGTTGCTGTATGAAACTCGAGTTTATCCAGAGACGTTGCGGGTTATGAAAAATGTTTTAAAGGTAGGTTTGGATTTTTTGGTTAAACTACGCTGACACCCCTATCCTTAAAGTTATACTTATAGTCTCTATCAGTTCTAAACTGTTCTCCCTTAGTGTTCCAGTCACTTTTTGGTCCAGTGTTATTATATACAGGAAGAAACCTAAACTAATAATATTTATACTGCATGGATAGCTCTGTCAGATCCAAACTGTTCATCCGATCATCATCTCTTATTCTGATCCAGTGTTACTACAGGAGGAAACCCAAACTAAACTAACTTTATTTATACTGGATAGCTCTATCAGTTCTAAACTGTTCTTCCTAGAGGTCCATGCAGTAAGGATCATCTCTTATTGATCCAGTGTTACTACAGGAGGAAACCTAAACTAAACTAACTTTATTTATACTGGATAGTTCTATCAGTTCGAAACTGTTCTTCCTAGAGGTCCAGTAAGGATCATCTCTTATTGATCCAGTGTTACTACAGAAGGAAACCTAAACTAAACTAACTTTATTTATACTGGATAACTCTATCAGTTCTAAACTGTTCTTCCTAGAGGTCCAGTAACACCCGTCCCACTAATACACTACAGTGAGGACTTCTCTTCTAAGCCATGACACATTTCATGTACGTAGATACTACAGCTACAAAGATTTGTATATGAAGAACTTTGCATGCGCCATAATTTATGTTTGCACCACCAAATAACGATTTATCATACGCATCATGAAAAATGTGTTCTAGATAACATTAACTAATTTCTCCATTAAACTGTAATCAAAGCACTATATTGAATATTTTATAAAAGAAAGTTCAACCATGCATACAATCATAATAGGTCATGATTTTCAAAATATTTTTTCTGCTTTGAAAAAGTTTCAGATGCGTCTCTATGGAAACACGGGAAATGATTTCTAATTTCATTTAGAGATTTATATTAAAAAGAGACATTGGGAATTAATAATGTAGCGTGTTTATTAAAACTAGACGCCAGATACTGTATAATGCAAAAATATTAAATAGGAAACGTTTGTAATTGCATTATAGAATCACGCGTATTTTTCCTTCCCGCGCTCCTAATCTCCCGATGAAGAATTCTGGTGAAGAGCGTTTGCCCAGAAAGCTTTTAATCTTTTTACCTTTGCAATTTCGGATCGAATTAATATGCAGTTGTTTGATTATAATTTCGCCTCACTCATTTGTCAGAAGAGTGCTTTAAGTTTGACTCCACCAAACATCGCAAGTTTTCTGTCATGGCTACTCCAGTTTCTTCCTGTAAACACTGGAGCAACAAGAGAAGGGATAACAGTTTAGAACTGCAACCAGTATAAATAAAGTTAGTTTAGTTTAGGTTTCCTCCTGTATTAACACTGGATCAATAAGAGATGACCCTTACTGGACCTCTAGGAAGAACAGTTTAGAACTGATAGAGATATCCAGTATAAATAAAGTGACTTTGGTTTAGGTTTCCTCCTGTAGTAACACTGGATCAACAAGAGATAACCCTTACTGATTTATCAAGGAGGACAGTCTAGAACTGATAGAGCTGTCCCACAGTGTTATATAAGTGTATTACAGATTTTTCATATTCCGTATATCTCTCTTCTGTGGCAATGATAACATGTGACTATTTTCACACCTGTTTTCCAGGTGGCTCCTGTGATTGTGATATGTCTGGGTTGTGCAGGTGGCGCAGGCCAATACATATGTTACTACGTGGATGGCGCTACACGTTTAGACTTCAATAACGCGTTACCTCATTGGCTGGTCATAGTTTTAAATATCGTCAGGTTTACCAGTCTTCTGCACATGTTTTGTGGTTACTCCTTGTTTTTGATCGTCCCAGTTTGTGTGATGATTGTCTCACAACTTTCAATGAAAGAATTCAAAGGTAATGTATAATATTGATTCTTCTTGTTCTGCTGTCCCTAAAGTTCAGTAAGGCTCATCTCTTATTAGTCCAGTGTCACTACAGGAAACCTAAGCTAAACTATCTTTATTATGTCGGAGGAGGAACAGTTTAGAACTGATTGAGCTATATATAAAAGCTATCTTTTACTTGGGGAGACCCAGAGGTGTTTGGTGGAGTCAAACTGCAAGCACTCTTCTCAAAATATATCCATCTTCCGTTTCAATTTTCAAATTAAAATAAGGTAAATGTTCTTCAACAAATGTATTGATCAACCTGCAGGTTTTATGGATGAAGAGTTTAAGAAAACAAACACAAGTATGACATTTGGAACAGCTGTAACGTTGTTTGAAGAACGTGTTAATTTTATCAGACAGTCTTCTAAATCTTGCATGGTAAGTAACACTCGTACGTTATTTATGTTTGGTTGTTTTATCAGTGCGACTTCGTTCTGAAGGTTTGCTTATTTGGGAAACATGTCAAAACATGGCTTAGCGAGACTTGCTATAGGAACATTTGAAGATTCAGTGTTTTCTCCAATGTATACCGTTTGTCTACCATTGGAAACATGGTTGTAAAAACAAAATTTCCTTTCCGAGGAAATGTCTCTTAACAAATTCCTGGTTATCCCACCCACGGTTCACCGTTTCTAGGAAACAATGTTTCCGCGCAAAAACATGTTCTACTTTTCCCTGATAGTGCATATTGCTTTGTGACTAAACAAATATTCTTAATTTCAGGAAACAATATCTTAGACATTGCATGATTAGACATTCATTACTTCTAATTACCTCAACAGATGCACATTAAATTATACGGAAAAATAAAATCCTTTTATTAATAATTCAATAGGTAAAAATTAGAAGGATTTAAAGTTTTCCGACGTTTCAAAATTCTTCAGTAACTCCAGACGAAGTGCCTTCGCTCGAAACGTCGAAATTCCTGGCTTATATATTTTCAGGTAGTTGATCCCTACCAACGAAAGCTTAGGAAAGCAGCCTTTAATATAACATGGATTATTCATTCATTTATTCACAGATGATGTTAATAATTCTGGTTGTGTCATCTACACTGTCCTTCACTCTGAACGTCTACAACTTTCTGTTTGTCCGACGTCTTGCAATATATTTCTGGTTTGCTGTCCTGCCTCTACTCTGGATCGCTATACCGTTAGCAGTCGCGGCCTGGGCTACAGACACCTACCAAACATTTGCTGGAGTTGTACTCAAGAATTGGGCCCAGACTTCCGGAGATGCAGGTGAAATTTCAGTGCAAGGACTGGTGACAAATGACGTCGCACTGGAAGTGACTTGCATCACGTGCCGCAGTTCGGCACGTTCAAAGGGCTCACAACGCAAGAAAAACACCGGTATTCAGTACGCAAAACGAAAATTCCGAAAAAATTTGCGAAACGTGATACGGCCATTGCAGATCAAATCCTGTCCACAGAATGGCAATACCAATGTTGCTTTTCACACACGGGGAAATAAACAGAATGGTTTTACATTACAACACGGGTTGACTAGAGATATCACGAAACTGCCTAGTGTTGAAATGTTTGAGCCTGTAGTTATTGGCCAACAAATTGGTCAGCGTGCACCTGAGCCCGCAATAGTTGAACAACCAATAGGTCAGCGGACGCCCGTGTCCGCAGGACAATTAATTGGCCAGCGGACAATAAACGAAGCTGTCATTACTTCATGTGATTATTCACAGAGTATGCCAGTAAGGTTTGATTTTGAGCGGTATATTATATACCTGCAATGTTTGTTGCCTGACGTTGGATTCTCGGTTGGGGGATGTCTTGTAACGTGGGATAAAGTGTTTGGCCTGGCTGTATTTATGACTTCTTTAGCGGCCGTGTTTATTCAAGAAGTTCTGTTTGGAAGTAGAAAGAATACTATTAGTCGACCATGACTGATCTGTACTACATCAGAGATTTCAGTTCACAGTTACAGTAACATAACTCACTCATGTACATGGTTATCTGCGACATCTGAGAGGTTCGCAGATATATAACCACACATTTGCGCGCAATATTACTTGATTGAGGTCCGAGGCATGTAGCAGTATTGCAGAATCTGGTGACCACGCCCACTGATAGTATTAAAAGTTTAAAACGTTTTTACAATCATATGTTAATTCTTCACACCCGAATTGCACGGCAATCATAAATTTAAAAAGTAGTTCTACAACATCTATACTACAGTATACTACAATGTTTCATTTTCAGACAATTCCACACGTTTGAAAATCACATTCAGTCTTTGTTTATATACAGTAAAAACTCCCGTGACAAGCGACCTTGAACGTTTCTTGTAATTTGCACAAGTTAAATCTGGATAGCTCTGTCTTTATGCATTTTCATATTATGAAAAGCATAACGACAAAGAGAGATAAAAGATGGAAACATCAGTGACATTAGCAATTTGCATTAGATGTCAAACAGGTGGACTCAAGCTGAAAATATTTATCCTAGAGTCTCTCAATCCTAGAACGTCAACTTTCCACACAATTCACACTTTAGTTTCTGTTCACTTCGTAACTGCATGAGCAGGTCGTCTTTTTTTCTTGACTCGAGTTCAAGTTGACGGATTTTCTCTCGCAGAAATTCGTTCTCTTTTTGTTCTGTTTCTAACTTTGTCAGCATCTCAGCAAAACACTGCAATGGACCAGAATAAGAATTAAATCAGTACGGTAAAGCGTGGTTTACACTGTCAGGAATTTTGTAGGAATTTTGCATGGGTAAATTCTACGTTTTGAAGGATTTGTAAGAAATGTTTGCGGGAACTAACTCAGTATTAAACTGTTGTATTTGCCAGACTTCGTGACTATGAATAGGTCTTGTACGAACGTTAATTTTGCATTTTTTCAACATTTAATTTTGACGATTGTGAGCCAGTACTTCACTCCATGCACATTTATATAACCATATTACCTTATTCTTCTCACTAACAATATCCATTGAAACAATATCGTCCGCTGTTGGTCTGTTTTCGGGGTCTTTTGCCATCATAAGGAGGATTAAATCAGTCTGAAAACACAAATGATCACAACTGTTACACCCCAGAATCACCCAGGTTAAAAATGTTCTGGTTAATTTAAAATTAACCCTCTAATTTGGGCAACGTAATGTGCATTGGTTAAATTTCCTGGTTAGTTCAACCACAGTTAATTTGATCATAGTGCTGGCTAATTTAACTATACGCTATATCAGGGATGGATCCAGCATGGGTGGGGGGGGGGGGGTGTTGCGCCACCCGCCCATCAATTTGCTTGACTGCTACAAAGTCCTGCTTGACTACTGTATTAGAATTGTAATTGTTGTTCACAGTTCGCTTATCATCATGTCATTACTCAAATTACTGTATCTCATTTTGTCTCTAATATTTTTTTGCTTAAATCCATCCCTGCGCTATATGGTTGATTGTGTTGATTACCAGATTATTTTGGGTGGATTATTAACTAGGAATTCTATAGAGTCACCAACCTGTTCTGGCCAAAGTTGTCGAAACTCGTGTGGTACAACACCTTTCCTTAGATCTTTAATACATTTATGTTTCTCCATATCTGTATTGAACGGTTGGAAAAACTCGAACAGTACGATTCCCAAACTATAAATATCTACTTTGAAACAGTATTCTTTGTTATGGAGCTGTTCTGGGGACGCATATGTACATGTGCCAACACCAAGTGTCTGACTCGAGGGTGATGCAACACTGGGGCTATCTAGTAAATGGAATAAAGGTGCGAAAATATTAGAGTCATTTCTACGAGTATTGGCGAGATTCGAGATGACAGAAACTAAGGTTCGAACGCCCAGTTACAAGTAACAGACTTGTTGACGGTAGCAAACTTGCAACAATACAGGCTGTTCATAACAAGTTGCTAAGAGCTTGTTGTCATCAACTTGGTTTAGATTGGTTTGCTTGACATGGTCAGCGGTAGGGTCATAACGTCCAAACCAGACATAATAATAGAGAACTAACCTCCGGGAAATAATGGCGTAAGAGGTTCAATCAGTGATGTAAACTCCGTGCCATTTGGAGGATCAGCACGAAACAGGTCTGTCCGGGCCAGACCGAAGTCTCCGATCTTCACCCGATATTCGTACGAATCATCGTACCGTTTGTCCCGATGCAGGAATATATTGCTGGGCTACGAAAATTAGATACACACGAGATTAATTAGATTTCTCCTGAGAGACAATAACTAAAGGATGTTCAGATAGACAGAAACCACAGTAGCTACAGTATTAAAAAATACCAACCTTCAAGTCTCGATGAATTAAGCCCTGCGAATGAATATAATTCACTCCGACGGCAATTTGTTTAAAAATGTTCATATTTTCCTTTCTGTTGACTTGTCCTCCTAAACAAAATAACAGGGATGCCATTTACTTGACCTCTACAAAGAAGAGTTAACTGCTCGAGCTATCATGCATATTAAGTTAATATAGCATGCAGTTCAGAGAATCGAGAAACCATTGAAGCACCCAAAACTGTCCAAGCAGGTGTTGTGTAAATACTGCCCCAAAATCTATAATACACCAGCGTACCATTGTTTATGAGTTCCTGGTTTCTCTCCAGTAGCCATTGTCTTAACGTGATGTCGCATAATTCCATCTGGATAAATAACACTATACCAAAACCCTGGAAGAGAAATTGTAATACTGTAGTTTACAATCAAACGAACTCATTTGAGTTTATCGAGGTTTCTCACTCAGTCAATGGTGAGTGGATTTCCCAACAGGCGATTGAGTATTGAGTATTGTCCAATTCATACGGGATCCGAGGTAACTACGATTTTAACGTCCTTATCCGAGAAGACGCGAAAGTCTAACCATTTACTGATGTCAATGTAAAGGTAGCTCTTTCTCCTCAATTAGTTTAAGACCTTGAGTAGAGGTCCTACGAAGGATTGAACCCGGCTGGGAAAGGCCAGCGCGGTGACCACGACACGACAAGTGCTGGTTCAATACAATGAAACCTCGCACGTTTCTTACCTTCCCATTTATTGAATCCCCAGTATTTGAACTGTCCGATTCTTTACTATAGTTATGACTTTTCTTGATGTTGTTTGGAATGTGAAGATGAAGATGACTCTTCTTGTACGACTTGGAGTTCGTGAAGCGTTCAAGATTCGCGTCCGATGCTGATCTTTGGATTCCCAAACTATTCATCGACATTAAACTGTTGCATGGACTTAACAAAGGTCCTAAAATGAAAACAAAGAACGTGGAAGCTCAGTGTTTTTAATAATCTGCCGTGGTTTGTATATAAACTATCTGGAAAAGGTTAAAAGTACATACACACATAAAAAACTCACAACTTGTCAACAAAATGTGTTCGCAACAGGCTTGCAGCAAGCTTGGCAACAAGTTGTAACAATGTTGTTATTTTATCAGTTATTTAAGTTGCTACAAGGTTGTCACTCACAACTTGTTAAATAGTTGTTGAATTACAGGACGATAACAAGTTATTGGAACAACTTGTAACAAGTCTGTTGAGTTCAACAACGTTTTAGCAAGTTGTCAACAAGCTGTGAAGTTGAAACAAGCAGTGCGAATACATCTTGTTGACAAGTTTTTGGAACAGCATTGCTACAAGTCTGCTGTAGGTTTGTTACAAGTTACATGTGTACTTTAACGTTTCGAGGGCGGATAGTTCCTCTGCATAGTTCCAATATCAGTAAGGTGGGTTTTTTCCATTTTATCAGCAAATGTGGTCATATGTACCTTTAAAATTACCAGGGGAAGTTGGTGGACTTGCAACTGCTTCGTTATGGCCAACAGAACTATCACCGTCAAAACTTGTGTCTGAGGTCTTGAATACTATATGACTGCCATCACTCTCCTGTGAATCAGCCCTATGAGGATTGAATTCAATATGTTCACTATAAAGTAGCGTAATCCTGTTGTATATTACTAATACAAATAAACCCCAAGCTTCTATACCTGTGGAAAATATTGGAGTGGGAATCGAGATCCATTAATCGACCTGGATGCGTTGATATTCCTGTAACAGTAAATGTGACTATTAGGGCGTCTGTTCTTGTAAAATGTGATTGGCCAGCACAAATTTTGCGTCGGAAAAAATTTAATTTTTCAACTTAACAAATTATATTTTTGGAAAATTTTCTGTCCGTGGAAATTTTTCTTGAGTGGAAATGGGCCTTTATCCCCTTTTCTTCCATGATATTGTAAGGTTATTTACTTGGAACATTTGTTGACATGGTATTTTCACTGGTTACAGATTCCAACCAGGCAGACTGGTAACCAACAACATTCGGATGACGTAATTGTGCCAGAACTTTTACTTCCCGTAATACCTAGGAAACGAAAAAGCTTGTTTTTTACTGAATCCAAAACAAGATTAACAAACCATTAAAATACTGACTCCCATGTAATGTTGTATAGACATACAGTAGGACAATTACATACCTTGAAACAATTTGGAAGATCTTTTTCACTTAAATAAACTTTCTTCACTGCATATTCACGACCGTCCAGTCGATTCTTTACCTAATTTAGAAAAAAGTCCAAGTTTAAATAAAGATTTCTGTAAATGGGCATATTTGTATTCTGTACATCGCAGTACAAGGAGTTTAAGCTTCACGTTTCCGGGAAAGGCAAACGGCAGGTTTGAACTTTCTTGGCAAAATTTTCATTGAACATTTTTGTTTCGTATTTCTTTTTTGCGTTGAAAGAATAATTATGTATTTCAGTTTTAAAACAGCAAAGTTAATTGACTTTTTATTGCCTGATACTGTAAAAATTTTTCTTTGCTTGGCGTTTGATGTATAACGCCAGAGGCGCCGGAATATCGATAATTGCGGGGGCAGATATTCTTATATTCGTGTTCACAGACTGTAAAAACAATCGATTTCAAAAGAAATTAATTGGGCAGAACACAAATATATGAATATCTGCCACCCCCCCCAATTATCGATATTCTGGCGCCTCTGTATAACGCGAAGCTTAAACTCTCTAATACATTGTGCAATACATAGTACTTACTGTACAATTTTGTGTTATATAATACCTTGTATACACTTCCAAAGCCTCCTTTTCCCAATTTCTCAAGTTCTTGAAATTCCTCTTTGTATCTCGATGTGTTGTAATTGAGTAGTTTCTGTGCCTGGAGAAGTTGTTTGGACACTGCAGGACATCTAAGTGTAGGGGAGAATTTATTTAACATTACATATTGAATAAAGTTGTTTATTATTATTATTGACCTGAACTCAAAATTCTATCTTTCTTCATAAATTACATTTAGTTCATTTACCTTCCAACTAAAGATATTCCGCCTGGTCGAACTGGTATTTTGAGTGGACTGTCCTAAAGTCACAAAATAATGCAGTTGTTAAAGAAAAAATCATTCAACACTCCTTCCACAGACAAAATGTATGTGTGCTGCTCAGAATAAAATCTACTTCTGATAATATCATAGGGTGAGGATCGAGGGTTAATTCCCTGTTTCCTCTGTGCAGGAAGTGTGGATGTTTTCTGAAATAGCCACTGGCATTATTAACAAGTATAAATTTGGTTGAATGTTGACATTATAATAAACACATTAAATTAAATGACTTACATTAGCTCCAGCAGCTGTCAAAAGCACATTGTGAAAAGCTGCAATGTATTTCTCACGGACAACACTGAAATCTTCATGAAGTGCAAATGTTGGTAATATCTGGAAATAAATTTAATTTGACAGTGACACAAACTTTCTCAATAAGTACATTCTCACACTTGTACATAAAGGCAGGAGTGCTTTGCCCGCGCGGGTGAATTCGGTCATGCATGCATGCATCACAATGGATATTATTCAAGCATGAAAACTTTGCTTACTTTCATCCTGGCCAGTTGTTCACATATAACTACATAAAAACAGAGGAGAAAAGAGGACCAAGATTAAAAGTTTACAAGTCATAAAAAATATTATTTCTCTTTGGGTATTTTGTACTGTACCATTAAATGTTTCTGTACGTTTGTCTGCATCTTCAATGTAAAGTGTACAAAGTTGTTTGACCAGAGCGATAACAAGGAAATGATTTGGAATACGTCTTTCAAGTGCATGTATCACGTCTGTCTGAATTCCTGAATCTAAAAGTTAGATGATTCTCTTAAATTATGTTGTAGTCTATTGTCACATATAAAACTCTCATAGTTCATAAAAAGGTCAAGACAGACTATTATATTGCTAAAACAGTATGTTCAGGATTTTTTAACAATATTTCCTTAATTCTGTATTTCTGAATCTTCAAGTTAGATAATTCTCCTAAATTATTTTGTACTCAATAGTCACATATAAAACTATCTTAGTTCATAAAAAGGTCAAAACAGACTATTATATTGCTAAAACAGTATGTTTAGGATAAAAACCCAGGAGATTGCATGAATTTTCGGGAGATTCCTAGGAAAATTGAGAAAGTTGAAATGTCTGTTAATTTAAAGACAATGTAAAGTCCGTAATGTAAACAAACGCTTTGTTTACATTTTAAACTCAGTGCTACAGTTGTAAAATATGATTAGATATAATACTGAATTTTTAACACTCTTCTGGTTCGCTATGCTTGTAAATGAATACAGACTAGAGATTCAATTCAAGAAAGTTCAAAAGATACAAAATATTAATAACATTCCAACGGCCGGGTCCCGACCATTGGCATGTCAGCCTGTGCAGAACAGACTTTACAAGGTCTTTAAAGTGTGCTGTCATGATTTCTTCAGAAATTGTTCACTGGGCATTAATATCCATTTTTAAATTTCCGAACATTGACAAGTACACTCCTTGGCCACACCCATTTTAATTAATCCATTTGACGTCATACTCAATATTGCACATGAAACCACTATGATGAAATACATGATTATGTCAATTATTGAATGCAATCTTTTGACATTATTTCCCAACAGGCAACAGTACATATTACTTTAAATCTGTCTTTCAATACCATTATTAATTGCATTTAGAAAATCTTACTTAATACTGGTCAACAATTCATTTAGTTATGGTAGCAAATTGCAAACATTTAACTTTATTTACAAATTAAACACTACTATCATTTGTGAATACGTGTTAAAATTCGTTAAATAAACGGTGAATACTTCTATTACTGCAATACAAGACCAGACTACACATGAAATATAAATAATATTAAATAACTGTATAAGAAATTTGCTGTATTTCATGGCCACGGTAGACTGACTAAGTCTGACTTACCATCGAAATTTGAGTGGTTTTGAAAATTTGGCTTTTCAAATGTAGTTTGAGTCCATACTCGTGTACGTTGTCGTTCCATGAGCACATTGCAAAGACCTGCTAGACGACCAATGGCTTGCAGCCAGCAAAATCCGGTTAATTCTGCTCAGGAAACAAAATTTCGATAACTAAGCACAAATTTTGAAGTGATTGAAGATTGAAAGAAGATGTTTGTTTATAAATAATCTTCCAACTAGAATGACGTCACTTAGTATTGTTCCGTGTTGTTCCGACTTTCAAACGATCGTCATTTGTCGAATATTGCCGGAAAATTTACAAGTTTTCGTAAAACAAGATGGCGGGCCTATGGGCGTGGGAGATTTTCAGTGGAGATTTTTCACAATTTTTCGTTCTCATAAAAACTTGAGTAAGTTATTTTGGAGCATGTCTTGGAGCGCATTTGATGAAATTCATTTGGAAACACGTTTAGTTGAACGTTTAAATGACTTGAGAATTGCAACACTAATACAGAAATTAAACAAAATTTCTTCAACCAACCAAATTATTTATTTGTTTGTGTCATGTTACGCCACAGCTGTATGTACAGAACATCTCTAAAATGTCTAAGCATTTGTTGGGGATAACACGCATAACATGAAATCTTTTTTCTAGTTCTTGCATCCAATTTTAAAAGGTGATAACATGGTCATAAATGCTGGAAGTGGAAAAACACTGTGTTAGTAGTACACTGCGGTCCTACTAAAGAATGCCCGGGAACGCCCGGGGAGATTCGTTGAATGCCCGGGAGTTGGGAAAGAATGCCCGGGGAAAATTAAGTTCATAATTACGTTAGTTTATACTAATAAAATCACTTATTTTATGAAAGATGAAATAATTCTTGTAATATATGGCATTGCAAAGTAATGTTCACGGAATGTCCGGCTGTCACAAAAGAATGCCCGGGAGTCGAAAATGTATGCCCGGGGTAAAATAAGCAAGTAATTACGATAGTTAATGATAACATTAACAAGTCTTTTATTTTTTAATGAAAGTTTCTTGTAATACATGGCATTGCAAAAACTATTCACAGAATGCCTGGGGAAAATTACGTACCGCTAATGTCTTTTTCAAATCTACTCAGAATATATCACTATCAGTGAAATATATTTTCGGTAGTGTAAAAAGATGTTTCTTCATTATTATTTAGCATCACAAAGCCAAATAAATAATTTCTGTGAATAGTTTTTGCAATGCCATATATTACAAGAAACTTTCATTGAAAAATAAAAGACTTGTTAATGTTATCATTTATAACTATCGTAATTACTTGCGTAATTTTACCGCGGGCATTCATTTTCGACTCCCGGGCATTCTTTTGTGACAGCCGGACATTCCGTGAACAGTACTTTGCAATGCCATATATTACAAGAATTATTTAATCTTTCATAAAATAAGTGATTTTTTATTAGTATAAACTAACGTAATTATGAACGTAATTTTCCCCGGGCATTCTTTCCCAACTCCCGGGCATTCCCGGGCATTCAACGAATCTCCCCGGGCGTTCCCGGGCATTCTTTAGTAGGACCCGTACACTGTTTGTGTAAACCCATATTTAGTTGGCTTGTAGCAAGCTAGAGGTTTATAGGTTCAAGTACTGTATGGGACTCAGCTGAGGTTTGAAAAACTGGAATTCAGGTGAATATTTTAATAAAGATATTACAGACACAAACTTGAGTGATTAATTATTTTTGATATTATGTTCTAGGTTACTTGGTTCCGGTGACAAATTATTGAAGACAAGAAGGTCCATTTGCTGTGATCCTTGTTCCAAATATGGATCTTGGATACCAGGTTAATATGTGATAATATCATCATTACCATGTTTCTATACAGAGTATTTCAGAAATTTACAACTACTGAGTACTAGGGCAAAGTTGCAATGAAAGCCTTTTCTTCATACAGATAAGTGTACATTAAGGCACATTCTGTACTGACTTTTATAAGATGAAAAAACAGGCAGATGCAGATAATTTTCTTATAATTATTAGTGAAGTTGAGACATTTTATTAATGATGCAAATTAGGGCCCAATTCAAAGCAAAGGTGTCAAAGGTCCTACTGGGGTAAATGTCCCAGATTCTAGAGGCAGATTCTACTTAAAAACGGGCAAATGATGAAAGGGCAACCTTGTACCCAGGCTATTTTCTCTTATTCTCGGTGCCACGGCCACCTAAAAGATCCTGGGTACGAGGATGATGAAAGGGAAGAACAACATGCATTAAAATAGTCTAAAGAGTACCTAAGAAATCAATGTAACATTAGGGAAAATGGCAGGAAGTTTTAACAAAGTTTCATCAAAATGAGTACAGAAGCTATTCCAGAGGCTTGGATATTTCACGTGATACAAGTGGGTTATGCTGGAAATGCCACTGACACATTGCATTGCGCTGGAAGGACCGCCCGCAGACCAGGGACAGAGACATCTATGGAATGCGATCGTGTTGACCGACATCCTGTCTGTCAACTTGATCGCATTTTATAGATCTTGGGACTGAGGGATTCCATGAAATTTCCAACAGAAATTGACAATGTAGTCGGCGTATAAAGAAGAGAATGTGTCATACTGATGGATCATGATTGGTGAGACAATGGTTGATGATGGCTGAGTGATCGATAATGACCAAACAATTGATAATGGTTGGAACTCATCAATACTTTTTCCAAATCTGATAAGAAGATTGAGTTAGAAATCGTTTGAAATATTTTATATTTATCAATGATTTTCGTAGCTTTTATGGACATGCTACGACTATAAGCTATAAAGTTATATAACATCCGACTATATTGGTTAATATATAAAATAGTTCAAACTACTAAAAAAACATTGTCACGTCCTTATAACAGTATATATGCGGTATATGTTTTCCCTCTATGATAGTAGGTATAAATTAAGCACTAAAAACGTAAAGCACTAGCAAAGTACTAGTTTTAGCGCAGTAAAGACTAGTTCATCCGTAGGAATTAAGCACTAAGTACTATTTGCATAGTGCATACAACTACTAAATAAAGTTAGTGTCTTGAAAGTTTAGCGAAGGAAAATTGCTCCGCCTGGATTCACTACGCCTTTCTTGTGGTCTGCCTTGCGTTTTCCACACGGGTCATGGGCTGGCCAATCGTGCTCAGTATTGTGCTCGAAGTCGTAGAACACCGATGAGGCTGACAGGAATGGACCATACTTGTGCCAAGCTATTTTGTTTGGTGCTAATCCTGCGCACTTGGGAGCGACGTTTTTAATGTTTTTACAATCAATGAGGCCATTACGTTTTCCAACCAAACTGCCTATAGATGCACAGGAAAATAGAAAAACAAAATCATCTTTTTGTACAAGATAAAGCTAATTCATAGATTGATATAGAGTTATTTCGTACGAAAAAAGTTAGTCTTTACAGTAAATGAGGCCATTATGTTTTACAACCAAACTGCCTATATACAGAGAAAAATACAAAGACGAAATCAACTTTTTTAGTACAAGATAAATCTAATTCATAGATTGATATAGAGTTATTTCGTACGAAAAAAGTTAGTCTTTACAATAAATGAGGCCATTATGTTTTACAACCAAACTGCCTATATACAGAGAAAAATACAAAGACGAAATCAACTTTTTTAGTACAAGATAAATCTAATTCATAGATTGATATAGAGTTATTTCGTACGAAAAAAGTTAGTCTTTACAATAAATGAGGCCATTATGTTTTACAACCAAACTGCCTATATACAGAGAAAAATACAAAGACGAAATCAACTTTTTTAGTACAAGATAAATCTAATTCATAGATTGATATAGAGTTATTTCGTACGAAAAAAGTTAGTCTTTACAATAAATGAGGCCATTATGTTTTACAACCAAACTGCCTATATACAGAGAAAAATACAAAGACGAAATCAACTTTTTTAGTACAAGATAAATCTAATTCATAGATTGATATAGAGTTATTTCGTACGAAAAAAGTTAGTCTTTACAATAAATGAGGCCATTATGTTTTACAACCAAACTGCCTATATACAGAGAAAAATACAAAGACGAAATCAACTTTTTTAGTACAAGATAAATCTAATTCATAGATTGATATAGAGTTATTTCGTACGAAAAAAGTTAGTCTTTACAATAAATGAGGCCATTATGTTTTACAACCAAACTGCCTATATACAGAGAAAAATACAAAGACGAAATCAACTTTTTTAGTACAAGATAAATCTAATTCATAGATTGATATAGAGTTATTTCGTACGAAAAAAGTTAGTCTTTACAATAAATGAGGCCATTATGTTTTACAACCAAACTGCCTATATACAGAGAAAAATACAAAGACGAAATCAACTTTTTTAGTACAAGATAAATCTAATTCATAGATTGATAGAGTTATTCTGTAAGGAAAAAGTTAGTATTTATAATTTCACTAAGGATAATCCTTTAAACAGAGGAAGTTTGAAATGTTCTTCTAAGTTGCCTCGCAAATAATTGATAAACTTGTCGCCGTTGGGAAAGTCTTGCAAAGGAAGAATGATAACTTACCTCCATTTGGTTTACAGACAATCCAGTCATTGATATTTGACTTCACCATGAACTCGTGCCCAATCTCTCGCCACAAGTTAAAATCAACTGCGCCCGCAGACCATTCATCCAGCGGAGGTGTGGTGGACACAGGGACATTCGCCTCGCGGACAGGCCAGCTTGGACGGGGGGTGACCGCGTTTGTTTTGGAGTAAAAGTCGTTGAAATTGGTGAAGGTGTAACTATAGACCAATGTCCAACCTCCTCGATGCGTTTTCATGTCGCAGTACACTCCAAATGCATCATGGTAAGGTGATGGCATTGGTTTGATCCAATAGACGCCCGACGTGGAATTTGGATTGCGCAATAAGATATCCCGACATGACTTGGGAAGGATGTTACTATGGGCTATAGATGATAATAGTATACACATGAAGACTTTGGTTATGTGGTTATATTCAATTT